CCGACTGACTTCAGCTTCGAAAGTTGCAGTACTTGTAGTTGTTTCTGTTGTTGGGATTTGTTTAGCTTTCCTTTCTTTAATGTTAGTAGAATGATTGGAGTGCATAATACGAGCGCATATTTATTAATGCGAGATGCTTTATGTGCACGATTGTTTCAGCCTTGTTTTGACTTGGAACTCTCAATTATTTGGAAATGCGATGTTCTGTCATGTAAAGTGTTTGATGTTGCTGTAAGCCACTGAAGAGCTTGGTTTTTCCTTAGAAAAGGCGGCTGCTGCGGCAGCTCTCATTCTCATGTATTTGCCACAAGGACAACTGGACTGCACGTTCAGACAGAGTGCCACTGGCTGCAGAGGATCAACAGGAGAAAGCCATGCTTCTGGGTCCTGCTTGCAGACATGTGCCTAGCTTGTACTGGAAAGAGCTGTAGTGCAGACAGCAAATGCTTAGATGCAGAAGCCACACTGATGTCTTCTGTGTTTTCGTCATATATACCCAGGGATCTGTACCACCGAAGCCACAATTCACTCCTTTTCAGCTTTAGTATCTGGTTCTTGTTTCAGCCAAGTGCGCCATGTTTCCCCCCATGCACAGAATGCAGAGAAGGATGTGGTGATGGTGCCAAAGGGGCGGTGAGCAGCCCAACTCGAGAGACATGACCTGATGCTGCGGACGGTGGGACATTACATCCCAGTCGCTGAGCACGCCTCTCATGCATACAGCCGTCTCCTCCCCACATGCTGTTACCCAAGGGAGGAGTTCTCCACCAGACAAAGGGTAAATTCTTAGGAAAGATGACATGACCCTTGCTGGAACGGCCACTTAGCAAAGCAAGCATCCAGTAACAGCACCTGCCTCTAGAAAGAGACCCCCCCCCCAACCATTAAAGGGCAGACAAACAGAAGCTGGTGGGCACCTACATGTAATCACTGTGGTGACGATTCCATTCGCTCAGTCCTGGAAAAGTGAAGAACTACCCATCGATGAATTGATTCTAAAATAATAATAATAATCCTGGACTGTGCAGAAATAGACAGATTGACTTTATCATTGAAGGAGAAGGAAGATATTGACTTCTATCAAACTTGGGACTCTTGTTATTATTGGCTAGAGAAATGGGACTTTGCATAGATTTAAATATGTTTTTAAAGTTATTATAAATGGAAAAAGAAGGGTATGCAGGCTGACCCAGCGGGCTCGATGTTTTTGATGATGTTGTTTGTAGTTTGTTGTTTTTTAGGATTATAATTCAAATAAAACTTATTAAAAAAAGAAGAAGCCGGTGGACACCAAGCAGTTAGCTCCAACGAAAGCCTGGGGGCAGCCAAGGCAGGAGTCACGGCCAATTAGGGCTCCTATGGAGAATTTCAATCTGTAACAGCAGGAAGAGAATTGTGCTCTTGGAGCACGAATCCAATCGTACATCAGCAGGCCGGCAGTGGTGTTCCAAGCCACCCATTTTGTGGATATTAGTCTGGCGGTTTCACGTTTTACATTCAGATCCCTCCTTTCCTTGCTGATGGAACTCAAAATGTGCACCCACCGTCTTTAAAGTCTTCCATCTAGGCACTGGTCACTTAGTGTCTGCAATGCTCTTGCTGCCTCACGCTTTGATAATCCTGCGATCACCATTTTGGATACAAATGCCATGATGGGAGACATCTTCTGGGAAATTTATTTATTTTATTTAAAATTTTTATATACCATCTGCTACCAAGGTCTTGGGATGGTCTTACAATAAAACAGAGTGGAGCACAGCATCCAAGTTGGTTTTCTATAAAGGGTAGTGGAATCCCAGTTTTTCTGGCCAGCTCACACTTTCTGCCTCTTCGGAGCATGTCCAGGCCCATTGATCAGCGTAGGGCATGACAGTTTCATGACCCTAGATTGAATTTCACCCCCATTGATTTCATTCTCCCCCCCCCCACCCATAATATTGCACATCTTCAGAAAAAGTAGATTTTTTTGTTTTGTTTTTTTGGCCAGCTCACGCTTTCTGCCTCTTCTGAGGCGTTTAGGGCATAGCATTTAGGTGCTTCTAAGATCCCAGCTGTCATCCCTGAGAAGGCTAGTTTGTCGGGACAGACATTCTAAACCTGACTTGGGAAGTGACCAGTTCTTCTGGCCTGCGCCTCCCACAAACCTCAGCCTGCATATCCAGTGGTGAAATATCATGGAAATTGGGTCCAAACCATGCAGAGAGCACCAGGATTCCAGTTTTATAGACTGGGTGCTTCCAGTTGTGGCTTTTATATGCTGCCGTCGTCCTGCCCCACTCCTGGAATTTCACAAGGCTAGTCCAGATGGGAACAGCTTCTGATTATAATCAATGTTTTCCCATTGCTTTTTTCGATCTTTGTTCCTTGCTGAAGAAAAAATGTTAAGAATTGCCAGTCTGCGACGCTGGGGGCCCTTCTAATAGGTGTTGCCTTTGTGTCAAGACAACTTTGTCAATCCAGTTTAATAGTGCATGAACAATCCCCATGAGACAAGGCTGACATTGATGAGTGCACAGTTCCTGGTTCTGACAAATATATTTTGGAGTGCAAATGTGCGTTTCTTGCTCCTGAGCAGTCTTATCCAGCCCAGTGCCCACATGTTTGACTGCAACTCCCAGAATCCCCCAAACCAGCCTTAAGGAACGGGAAGTGAGGCTTCAGCTTTAGTTCACCCAGTACAATCCCTCTTTCCCTCCAACATGCAGCTGCTGTTTTGGTTTGCTCTGTTCAAGGGCGATAGATGAGAAGTTTCAGGAGCGTGAAGGTCAAAGCAAGGCCAAGGACAACCAGAGGGGAGACAGACTGGGAGGATTCCACTGCATCCCCATCTGGTAAAAGAGCAGCCTGAATGGGGCTTGGAATCAGCCCTTGGGCTCGGCTTCCTTCGGCTGGGCTCTTGCTACTGGTGAGGCTTACGATGCTGTCTAGTCTAATTAAGGCTCTTTGCCCCAAGCCCGAAGCAGCTTATAGAAAGGGAGCAGCACAAAGATGTTTTTTAAAAGGACTCCCCAAACTTCAAAACAGCTGTGCAGAATGTTGACGTTCTTGAGAAAAAACCCAGCAAAGCAAGGCTGTGTGAGGAATCTCCTTTGACACAATCAGATGATGTCCTGCGATGTTAAGGTATGTTCCAACTGGGGATGGGTCTTATTCAAAATCAGCCAGCCCTGAAGCGGAAGATGCAGATTAATGACCACTCAAGTCCCCTCCTTGAGTCTGTTTCATTACATTGTTCCTGAAACGGGAATGTTCAGTTGTGCTCTCTGCTTATGGCGCTATGGGCTTTTAGGTTTTGCTTCAGCACCCACCACGGGTTCAACTGCAATTCCCATCATTCCTTGCCAGCATGGCCAACAAGAACAATGGAAGCTGTAGCCTAACACCTCCAAAAAACACCAGTTTGAGGGAAGGCCCTCTTAGTGGATCTCCGTTTCTTATACTTCTATTCTCCTTCAGCTCCAAGGAGCCCAAAGGCCAACATCCAAGGTCTGTTCTCCCACCAGTTTTTGTCACTGCCCATCTACTCCTAGGAAAAGTTGTATCCTGGCTTGTGACTAGCTATGCAGCATAGCTGAATTTCTGAAAAGGAGGTTGCAAAAGAAAAAGACGTGGCTTCAGACAGAGATGTCCCTATACAGCCAATAACATAAAATTATACAACATTATACTTTTACATAGCATTTAAAAAAAGTGTTTGGCTTAAACCCATCGCAGAGTGACGGGTAGCTAGAAAGACCCAAAACAAAGGAGTTGGAGTGGAAACAGGAACAAAGAGAGCTCTGGCTATTTGATCAAGGGCAAGGCCGTTTTCTCAGTGCCTTCAATCAGGTAGTCGCCAATTAACGCTGAAAAGAGATTACAGTGCAAAGTCAGCATCAAAACAGGCTTCTGTTTCATGCCATGATGAACAGTTCCCTGTGCAGCCTCTCCTCATGCCAGGCATCAATTTCATCAATAGGCCAGCTCTGCGTGCTTTCTGATCCCAACACCCGGCTCCGTTTACAATGCAATGGTGACATCTCACGCAAGGAGAAAAAGAAAAGCTCGGATTGTGCAGCACATTATTCCAGCTGCAGCTGCCGGGAAGAAGAGGCGGCACATTTAGAGGCTGAATAGCCTGAGGCCTGTTTCACACATGCAAACATCTGCCCCGTGATGCGATGAACCCCTGCCGCTAAGTCCACTGCCCCTGTATATAATACACCCCCTGCCCAGAGGAAGAATTTTCCAAGTACAGAATGCTTTTCAAGAGTTTGTTCAAGTGCTTTATCACGGAATAGGCCCATTTCACAGTTCATGCAACTATCTTTATAGGCTTCTTCCTGGCAGGCATCAGTTCTGTAGATGTGTATTCTAATTTCCTAAGCCAATACAGAGGTTCCAGTCAGAGTATTTGAATCTCTAAAACGTTTTGATTCAGAATATTAAGAAAACAAAACCAGATAGTTGGGGGGGGGTTTGGGGGGGTGGGGTGGCAGGATCAGGAGAGCTTGGGTGTTGGAGGCTCAAGCTGCACATCTGCCGTTTTCCTGTTCTTAGACCAGTTCCTTGCCTTTTAGTCTGGGCACGGGCTTTCTGTGAAATTGCTTTCTGTGGCTGCTTTCACCACAGCAGCCATTTTGTGATCGCCCCTGCGACACTTTCCTCAGGGCTGCAGACGTGCCCACCACCCCAGAACAGTGTCTGGAAAAGGCTTGTTCGTTCACCGGGGTTGGGGTGGGGAACTGCCCTTGCGCAAGTGGAGCGCATTATGAAGCGCACTGAACGCAAGTGGTGTGCAAAGGCATGTGAATCAGCAGTGGGTCTGGTGGCAGGCGGCTGTTCCATGTTCCACTGAGTTCACGGTGACCCACTCCCAGGTGAGTGAATATAGGACTGGTTCCTCCTTCCCAGGTGAAAGGGGCTCAGCAACCACAGATCCTGAAACCTCTCTTCTCCCAAGAGCAAATCAGAGGATGCTTCACGTTCAGTGAGATCGACACAAAACAAGAGGCAAGGAATCACTCTTACAAACTGTATTTCCCAACCCGCTTCAAGTTACATTTTTAGCCCTCCAAAAGTTTAAAAACCACAGAAACGCTTCACTTTGATGCTTGAGAAGGACAGAACAGCTTGGAAATGCCACATATCCGGGGAACGCACGCCACAGCCCAACAGCAAAGCTGCAGCAGTGGTACCCATTCAGCCCAGCAAAGCAACCGACTCATCTCACAGACCTAACCGTTCAAGGGGCTTGCCAGAGAACTTGCTCTCCTGAGAGCACTGGGTCCTTTGCACCGGCCCCCCAATCCACCAATATCTCATCCCTTAGAAGGTACGTGAGGCTGGGGCAATAAGCAGCACTGATGCAGAACGGCATAGCTTTTTTTTTAACTGCTTTACAAAAATACTTAGAAGTAGAACATCTGTGCAGAAGGACAGAACAGGGTGACGTACACAGCTTCTAGGTGTGGGGAGAGGAATGCACGAAATGTGGGAACATTGCTAACAGGGCTTGGGTGGCATCACTTTTTATCATAAGCACTCCTGTACCTCTGCTGGGGAATAGGAGGGAAAAGAAGGACAAATAAATTAATAATGCTTGACAAGTGGCCCAGAGAGATGGATCAGTGGGAAGGGGAGGCAGAGGTACTCCCAGCAGTGGTGCGCCCACTGCCCATAGTGAACTAACAACGCGACGGGAGCGCTGGCTAGGGAAACGTTCCCACCACAGCCCCCTCCATGTTGAGCTTTACGGAAAGAAGAACTCCCGATCATAGGACTCCTTGGGGAAAGCACTTGGTTTTCATGCAACAACACAGTAACAGCTGCACACCTGTCCTGTTATAACACTGATCACATGGAAAGACCCTAAAGTTGGTCTTTGGAAGAGCTGACTTGGTGCATCCATTTGTTTTCCTTTTGCAAATGCCTGGGGGAATGAAACTTGAACTGAAAGACTGAACCACTTTTATTGCTGGGTGCATTTAAACAGGCGTGTCGTCACCAGCCCCAAGAAACCGAGGCTCACACTGAGAACTTTACAACATTTCAAGCCAACGCTCAGTATCATTTTCTGAGAGGGAACGGCTTCTGCTGCAAGGCAGAGAATGCGAATTCATTCAGGGAAATTTCTCCCCTGCCTTCTCCATATTCCCCCATGCCTCATTCTAGTGGTGATTCTAACTGCTCCTCTCTCTGCCAGGCTAACACAGGGCGCAATAGCACCTGCCTCCAGCAACCGCAGCCGCTGGAAAGCTCATGTCAGCCACGGCCAGGTCCTCAAGCTGCTCGTGCTAGACAAGGGAAGCAGCAAAATTGGCTTCAATTTCCTTTCTTCCCAGACTCCTTCATCAGTGCAAGCCACCCAGGTGCCTTCCTCCAAGCACGGTTAACCTTTATGGCACAAAACAGAGAAGGGAACACTCAGGTTTGGGTCGTAGCACACGCAACACGGTGATTGAAAAGTGCCGCTTCCTGGCAAGTCAGAGCATGGAGCCGAGAACGCCACCCCCTCTGCCGGTCTGCAAAACGGTTGTTACCAGCTGCAGCTGCTACGGCTGCATTTCTTCCGGGCAGCCACACTGCCTCCAAGGGGAGCAGCAAGGCCAGGAAGGCAAGGACCAGGCAAAGGCTTGAGAAAGCACGCCTCACTAAGCCGCACGGGCCAGTGGACGGATGGGTGGGGAAGGAGTGTCCGGTTGCAAGGAAATCTGCTTGCACGGCACAGAGCTGGGGCACATGCCATGCCCCCACAACTTCGGTAGGGGCACAGGGGGCTTGTTCTTGTCTGCAAATGGAGGTGCGAAGCCACGATCCTCTTCGGGGCTTCGGGCCACCTCCTTCCTGCCTGGACACACGTGAGGGAAGACCGGCACGCCTTCCAGCGCCAGCTCCTCAGCGGAAGCCGGAGAGCACAGAGCCAACTGCTGCGAAAGCATCCCAGCTGCAAGGCTGACTCAGCAGCCAAGAGGAAGGCGCCTGCCAGCCAAGGGTTGGTTTGCTTTAAAAAGGCAAGTTAGCGTGTAATAAATATGGCAAAACATTTTCCCCCACCCACCATGACAACAAATGTGAAGCAGTAAGTAAACACAGTAATCCCACTACCCTCCCTCCTCCCCCATGTTTAACCAGGGAAAACACTGGAGCCGGCAAAACCCCTGCAAGCCATTCGTGTCTCAAACGGCAGCCGCCACGGTCCCGTCCCAGCCTCACGCGGCCAAGCCCCTCTCCAAAAAACACACAAGCATGACCAAAAGAAGCATCAGCGCTTGAAGGCTTTGAGAAGCAGGATGTCAGCAACAATTCTTAAAAATACAAATTTAAAAAGTTTGGGGGTGGGCAGTGCTTCCACTGGTCAAGTTTCCTCCTTTTAGCCAATCGAGAGTCTATCTTGGGTGGGGGGGCAGGGAAGAGCCAATCACAAATGCATTCCTGGAGTTGTCCTGGATTAATACAACCTCATTGTGACAACAGGTGATACAGAACAGACTGCAAAATGCATTCAGAAGGTTGGACAAATGGGAAACTGAATGCAGGGCAGGGAGAGGCTACCACAGGAGGGGTGGCGGTGGCGGTGGCAAGAATCAGGGGAAGACAAAGGAACTCGGGAGCGCCTGCCCGTCTTCCATGATCTCCAAGGACCTGGTTTGCCCTGTCCAGCTCTGTATTGCTCAAGCAGACCCTTCACGTTACTGCCTTCTGTCTTCAGTCTCTGATCTGGAAAACGCCATCACTCCATCCTCCGCACCTGCAGCACAAAAGAAGAGTCAAAAATGATATGGCTGGCTAAGGCATGTGAGGGGTTTATTTATTTATTTATTATTTATTAAAACATTTTTATGCCGCCCCATTCGCCGAAGCCTCGGGGCGGCTTACAACATAGACAACATAGGGTTGTCATCTTTTTGGTCTAAATTTGCATAGGATGGTGCCTCAAATGTCTTAAGTGGCTTTGTTCCAAAAGAAGAGAACAAAGATTGCTATTGTGCTATATTTATACCTAATAAAGTATCAATGCTTCCTTTTGGAGCATCTGTAATCAACTCGGATCTACTGCACTGCGGAGAATGGCCACGTTCCAAGGGGCCGGAAAGAAAAGATGATCTATCGGCTAGGCCTGAGCCTCTGTTTCAAGCACGCTTTCAGGCAGCGAGGTGGTCTTATGGAGAATGTCTGTGCCATGCGTCATGTGTTGCAGAGCGTCTCGTCTCCCACGGATGACACAGAGGAAGTGACTTTAGCTTCCATCCAGTAGTGCTTCCAGCAGGAGTGCTCAGAGCCAAATTAAGAAGCTGCCTGCGTTCCAAGTATCCCCACCCACACGACTGCGGATGTTTGGCTAAGCGTCTGATTGATCTTGAGTTTTAAAAAATGATCTTTACCATTTAAAGTACAACTGATAACAAGAAGCATTTTCTTTCTGGCCCCACACAAATTAATTAGGCCTGCGTGAACAGATTATTTCTTTTAATAAGTCTTTCTTTGAAGTCTCTTGGCTAAAAGGATTAGATAGCACAGGCAGCGGTTCCAAATACAACCAGCCCCAGTTTTGTCATCCTCCAGGAAAAAAAAATCATTCACACTTGCTACGTGCCATTTTTTATGGCTGTGAGATTTATACACACTCCCAAATTAGTGGAGCAAGTGTCTTTCAGCAAGCCGGTTCAAACTACCATATTGCCTCTGGATATAGATCAATAGCAAGTAGAAGAGCTTTATGCCTTGCAAAGTTGCTTTAATCCGGTATTGAAGAAACGCCTTCCATGGCTTGAACCATCACTTATGACAAAAGCTGTAATTTGATATACTCAGTAAAGTATCAAGATCTATGCTTTCATAGATTAATACTATGCACCACTTTGCAAGAGGGAAGAGCTTTGATGTACATGTTCTGCCACAAAGGCCCACAGAGCCACTTTTTCAGTTATGCATCTGATGCTCCTTGCAAACAGAAATTCATTTCTCTGCTTGAATTACACAGTGACCACCAAGAGGGATCTGCCACTTGTCTCTGGAGAGCCAGCAAAGCAGTACAAATAGTGGGATAGACCCTCCGTTAAGGTCTCTCCATAAATGCAAAATGGTAGAGTAAATGAAGGATCACAGCAGGGACCTGTTGGAACCATCTGAAGTCCAGAGATCCCGAAAGAAACGTAGAAAGCTTTTTAACAGACGTCATTCATAGCTAAGCAATCAGCAGGGCAGAGGATTTAACCTTGGAGGGCACTGATGGGTCGGTGAGATGAGGCCCCTTTTAGTAGCCAACTGATGGTTGGCCACTCCATGATGCACCGCCCGGCAGACTGCGAGAGCTCTGCTCCTGAAGGAAAGCTTGGCCTTGCCATGAAGCAGCAGCAGCAGCCCCAAATACGATTAACAAGGCCATTGGCTGCCGTGGGGTCACGCTGATCGAGCCCCTTCTCTCCTGCAGAGTGGGCAGAGCCGCAGGCTGCTGGCTGGTGGGGGGGGGGGCAGCAGTGCAGGCTGGCCGTTCCACAGTTCCACCAAGGACCGACCAGGGGGACCAGGAGGAGACACAGGTCACCTCGATCAGAGTGCCCTGTCTTATCAGACACCAGCTCCTTAAATATTGCTGATTCCAGCTAGGGCCTTTGTATTGAAGCCTGAGAGAAACATGCGGGGGGGGGGGGGGGGTTTGGGAGTGGCCTTCCAGGCTCAAAGCCCGAAATCTTCCATTTGGAGCCCCAACTCTCTGGCCAGCCACCTGCCCCACGGCCCTGTTGCCTATGGACACTTGCTGAGGTAACGGCAAGGGGCCCTGATGAGCTCTGTGCAGCTCCTTCCCCCGGATTCGCAGGCGGTTTGGCCACTCGAGCTGAACCTCCGGCTGCCCCTGCCCTTGGCCTTCGGAAGACACACAGACTGTAGGTCGTCCAGAAATTAGCATAGGCAAACGGGTGGATTTTGGTGTCCTGTAGGCCTCAGCCCTGGTTCCTTCTGATACCTGGCACCACCCCTGCAAGCAGACCCTGCTGGAATGATTACATCAGGAAAAGGAATCCCTTGGAAAGGGCAGGACCGAGCAAGATCCGAGTGTGGCCTTTAACGCACACTACCTGTCAGTCTAGAGGTGCCTTTGCCTGGGAAATTCCAGGGGAAGCTGGGTTTCCTAGCAACAGGGAGATCACAGAGGACATCGCACTCCCCAAACCCTAACCCTAACAAACAGCAGAGGCTGGTTTCTCTCCCCCCAGCCCCCAATCCTCACTTTCCTCCAGAACCCCAATAGTTTAAAAAAAAAAAAGCACACTTTTAAGTCCGAGATTTATTTCAAGAGAAATCCTCACGGATTTCGGAAAGGCCCACGGGCAATTTCAGCAGCCCCGCTTAGCTCGTTTGCCACATACCAACGGCTGCGAAGCCCCATTTTTTAAACAGACACGCTCAGCAGGCAGCTTCTTCACTGGCTGCCTACGCATTCCTGGGTGAGGTTTAAGGTTCTGGCCTGAGCGTGAGCAGCTCTCCAGGTCTTGGGGCCCGGGCACCTAAGCAGAGCCGTCTCCCTTGCCAGCCTGCTCCATCCCTGAGGCCATCAGACGGCACGTCCATGGTGGCTCCAGACTCCTATGGCCTAGTGAGAGTCCATCCAGAGACCTGCCTTCAGTCCCGCCTGTGGGAGCCCCTGCCAGTGGAGCTCTCACAGCCCCCAACACTGTACTGTTTCTGGCACCTCCCGAAAACACTTCTATTCCAGAAAGCCATCTTCCTCTAACCAGCCATGATTTTCTGGCTATGCTTTTGCAGATCTTGACTGGTTTTTCGGCGCCAGGTAAAGACCTTTTTATTTAAACATCATTTCAATTGTTAAAACATATGATCTGGCCTGGGCAACTTCTTCTTCCTTCTCTTTCTCCTCCTATATTTTTATTTTATACTGATAATTTTAATTTTGTATTTGTAAAT